GTCGAGCCTTGCCCGGGGGCCCCACCAGGTCAACGCCACTGGCGCGGCCGAGGACGTCGTCGCAGACGAGCGGGCCCGAGGAGGCGTAAACCTCGTGGTGCTCGGGGACTCGCACGCCGAGATACAGGCCGGTCGCTCCGCGGTGCCAGGCAATCGGTCGGGCGTTGCTAGAATTAGGTCGGGCCTGTCCCTCTACAGGGGGAATATTCAAACATGGTTAAAACATAATCGGGGGACATTCTCGGACCATTCTTGAGTATTTTTGGAGCATGTTTGGGGTGTTTGTCATTTTTCGCCCAGATCCCCCTCTAGGGGGACGTGCCCGACCTGACGCCAGAAGTGCCCCTGGCCCACGGTGCCTCCAGGATTTCCGAGGAGGCCCACGAGGGCCCTCCAGCGATCACCCCTCCTCGCGGTGTCTTGAGGGGCCCAGGGATTCTCCCAAGTTCCACGAGAAGCGGGGGGCACCTCTGGCCAGGGGCACGTCTAGCATTAGTTCAGCACGTCCCTCTACAGGAGGAACATCCACAAGTAGTCAACAAATCGCCATGGAACATTTTTCTCGAGTATTTTTTCATTTTCATCCAAAATCCGCTTGTAGGGGACGTGTCCGAGTCGGGGCTCAAGAGACGGGGGTCATTGCAAACGAGGGTCAGTCAGAGCGCTGGATCTTGCAGGATCCTGCGGGGCCAGGGGGGCACTGACCCGGCTCCGGGCGCATGGTCCCGCAGGACCCCGCAGGATCTTGCAGGATCCTGCACGGCCTGCATGACCCGGGTCTGGGCGCTCGACCCGGGTCAGCAGATCCCCGAGGCAAGGAGGCGGGCGTCGTGAAGACCATCAAGTTCAAGGAGGTCCCGACGACGGAGGACATGATCGGCCAGCTGGAGGCCGTCTCTGCGCAGCTGCGGGCGCTGGTCATCCAGGACCAGAGCGCCAGCAAGGAGCTCGTCAAGGGCAGCTTCTCCTCCTCTCGGAGGAGCGCCGGCCGAGACGCCGGCGGGGCCCTCCCTGGCGTGCCCCGCCCTTCCTGTGTCAGGAGGAAAAGAACACACACAGACACAATTAATCCTCGATTCCCCAGAAAATATGGGAAAATATGGGAAGTGGGGGGGAAGACAAAAACCCAGAAAATATAAGAAAATATGGGGAATCCTTTTATTTGTGTGTCTTTATTTGTGTGCCCCAGGGCCCCTTCAATAGGGAGGCTCCTCGTCGCCGCGGCCGGCTCTGCGTCGGGCATCTCTGGTCAGCACGTCTCTCGGCAACGCGCAGCAGGGGGTAATTAGGGGGGGGAGGCTCCTTAGAAGCACCCCTGCTTCTTAGAAGGCGCGGGCCTTCTCTCTATATAGACGTAAGGCCGAGGCCTTCCAAGAAGCAGGGTGCTAAGGCCGAGGCCTTCCAAGAAGCAGGGTGCTTCTAAGAAGCCTTCCCCCCTCCCCCTACCCCGTTTTTGCGCGCCGCCGAGTCTCCCGGGAGGGGTCCGGGGACCGACGCCGAGCGGAGCGAGGCCGGGCGGGGCAGCCGCCGTGGTCTCGGCCGGCACCCCTCCGAGCCTCGTGGAGCCTCGCGGACACGCCCGGCGCGGGCTGGCTGGGGCTCGCGTAGGCCCGCGGCTGCCCCGGGCCGCCTCGCGTCGCGACCATAGGATCTGCGCGGGTCCCGCCTGCGCGCCCTGCCCCCTCGGAGGCAGCTCCTGGGAGGTCCAGCTCTGACCTTGCCCTGGTCCGAGGTCTGGCTTGAGCTTGCGTATATCAGGAGGGGGAAAAAACACACAGACACAATTAATCGTCGATCCCCAGGAAAATATAGGACAATATGGGAAATGTGGGGGGGGAAGACAAACACCAAAAAAAATTGAAAATATGAGGAATCATTTTATTTGTGTGTATTTATTTGTGTGTCCCAGTTCTCCTTCACTGACCTTGCCCTGGTCCGAGGTCTGCCTTAAGCTGGCGTGTAATCCCGCTTCGTCCGGCTCGGTCCCGTTGCATCTGGGTTCAGCTCGCCGAATACGCGGCCGAATCTGGCGTAGCAGCCCCCCGATGGGGCTTGATCCTCCTTGCAGTGGATACCCAGGCCAAGAATCACAAGACAGCTCGCCGCTTGTGGCCCCACCGCCAGGCCAAGCGGCGAGCATAAACCGGGCGTGGCCCCCCAAACGCATTCGAATGCCCACATTCCGTCCTCGTACTACTCGTATTGCTCCCCGTCCTCCTCACCATCCTGATCAGTGTCGTCCTCCTCCTAATCCTCCTCCTGTTCCTCGTGTTCCTCCTGCTCCAGCTCGGTTTCCTATTGGTTGCGCCATAGGTTGCGCCCTCGGCGGCCGAGAATCAAACCGTCTTCTATCGGTTGCGCTATAGGTTGCGCCCTCGGCGGCTGAGAATCAAACCGTCTCCTACTGGTTGCGCCAAGGCTTGCACTCTCGGCGGCCGAGAAAAAAGCCGTTTCCTATCGGTTGCGCCATAGGTTGCGCTCTCGGCGGCCGAGAATAGCA